GTGCGCCTCGGAAGCCCTCTTGTGGGGGGGTTTATGGTTGGTTTAGACCCCGACTTGTATATATCTGCTACACGACAGCTGTTGTTGCTTTTCTGTTGACAGACGCAGTCGTCGTGGGACATAAATACAAAGCTTATGACCGTTAAGTTTTGAAAGCTAACCTTCGAATAAAATTATCAAAAAAATGGCCATTGAACAGGGTTTCATATGCCGGCTGTTTAACTGGACTTGCACTTGATGTGAAAACCAGAAGAGATACGTTCATCCAATGCAACAGTGTTTATGGGGATGAGATAATATTACTCTTCTAGTGCTCCCTTGGTGGCTTTTCTGCTCTAATGAGCATCTTCGCATGGAGAATCCCAAGGAAACACAGCTAATTAACCTTGTTACTTAAAGGGGCGACACATCTCCCCCACCAATAAAATTACTTGCTTAGCTGTTCAACACTTAGTCACTGAAGACAGATTATGTTACTGTAAAGAGGATCAGAGATTAGATTGTTGCACTTAAGGAATGACAAAACAGTGCGTAGCTTTAGGGTTTCTATTTTTGGAGCTGTTTTGGTCAAACGGCATGGGGCTTACCTACAAGCATGTGGATGATCTCTGCAAAGAGTAACTGTCCCCCACAATGCCAGATGCTATTGAAAATATAGATCAGTATAAGTCCCTGGTGTATTTTTAATGTCCTGAACACAGAAATCCAACTAATCTTTAGAGTATAGAGCAAAATGAAGTAATTATTAAGCCCTGAATTTTTTTTTTTTACTGGGGTCAGCTTTTTTCCTTGAATTTACCTGCCAAAAATGTCTTCATTTCTGTGCAATCTTTCGGTTGCCTCAGCCTCTTTTTGCAGATTAGTAATCAACTGAGGGGCTCTTATCTGGTCTGAGGATCAGAGCACGGTAAACAGATCCATGTGTCAGCGGAGCCTTTGACTGGCAGCCTGTCACTTTCTCTTTGTCCTGAGCCGTGTGCGAGCAGATAGCATCTGCAAAACTTTGGCCGGATCGTTTTTGATCCAGTCGGGAGAGGCGAGGCCGCTCCCAACGCGCCGTTAGCCAGTCCATACGCAGAGACACAGCCCACCGAGGACAGCCGGTGCAGGCCTGACCTCTGCAGTGGACACGAGGGTCTCTGAGTGACTGATACACGCTCAGCCAGACGCCAGGTCCAAGTTCTGTTTGATCACATCAGGAATATCTTTTACAGGAAGCGACTGAGGCTGCAGACTGTGGATTTTTATACATCTGATATCATTTTATAAATGTTTTAAGAGCTTCTGAATGGGATTGATGGAATTTTCATATATTTCTGTTTTCTCTATAAGACTTAAATGCGACGTTCAAAATAATGAAAAATACAATTCTGTGTTGCAGTTTAAGTTTTTTATTGATATATTTTGTACACGCTAATCATTTTATTGATTTTATTTCCCCAGGTGAGCGTCCATACCAGTGTCCTTACTGTGATAAAGCATTCAGCAAGAACGACGGCCTGAAGATGCACATCCGGACTCACACCCGGGTATGTTTTCTCTTTCTCTTTGCTCAGATTGTCGGCGCATTGCAGTCTGATTTACAAGTTCTTTCTTAACAGCCGCGCGTTATCTGACGACACAAAAGATATGCCTTGTACAATTGAAATTGCATTTCTCTGATCCTCCGTGGACCTGTTGGCATCAACCGCCATCCTGATTCATCACGAATGGCTCAAATTGGTCACATTTGGAAGTTTTGTCCTACAGAAAAAGCTGGGGAAAAATGTCAGCATTTTAAGAATAAAACCTTCTTTTTTTCAAAAAAGAAATAGCAGAATCAGGGCTGAACTCTAATATTTGTGGACGTGAAACAATTTAATTAAAAGGACAAAAAAAAGCTCACACACCTCACCTTTAGAGAAAAAAAAGACTTCTGTCTCTGTTATGTGCCACTTCATTCACATTTATGTCGAGGTAATGTCTGTAATTCTAAGATATTTCTTTCCATTCCAGTCCATTCACAGAAAAGATATCGATTATAGGTGGAACTAAAATGAGATTAACTTGGGCTGTTTTGCCCTCGTTCATTCACTCACGGGAGGAAGCAGCAAATTCAAATCCAAAACCTTTTGGTGAACATGTAAATAAATGCAAAAGCGAAGCAATGCTCAGGCAAAAGAGAAAAGAAAGGCAAGGAAATATTTTTCAAATCATCTGACTTTTCGGGGTCTCCGTGTCATTCCTGCTTTTATCACCAAATTCCATCATCGGCTTGGAGTGTAACAGTGAGGGCCTGTCAGCATAGTTCATTAAAACGATCTGTTCTCTTTTAAAGCTGTCCAGAGTTCAGAGCCCCGCTGTTAGGGCTGTTTCCTTTGTGTGGATAGTGAAAGGTGCCCAGGTTCCAGCCCCTGTGCTGAAGCAGACAGGTATAATAGTCTGCTGGCGCGCCGCTGATTGAACTGTCTGATGCTGCGCTCCGACTGTTCCCAGATCTGCCTCTGCTCACGCTGCGCCAAAATACAGGCCGAACAGTGATAAACAGCAGAGCCGGATGAAGTCATTTGTGAGGGAAAAAAATCATGTCATTCGGTCAAAGTGGCTTCAGCCCACCGTTAACAAAGACATGATGCAAGATTTCTGTGTTTACACCAGAAAACGAAAAGCATCCCCTAGAATGCATGAACCTAAAGATAAACCAATAAATAAATAGTTTCATGCGCTCTGTGAGTACATATACATCTTTGGCCTTTTCTTCCTGGGAACGAAACTTAAGAAAGTTGAGAACTTGCTTTAGAAATCCAAAATTCTTTTGAAAAACAATTTGTTTTTCAAGCCTCAAACAACTTGGTAGATGTATCTCTCCATGATGGTCCAGAGGAAAAGATAACATTTCTAGATAAACTGATTTCACTAGTCAGTTGTCCCAGTCTACAATGGGTTAGCAAAGTAAAACCTTAGTCATGAGCTAGCTTGCTAATATCTGCAACTTGGCATGAATATCCTGCAGCCATTTTCACCAATACATTGCATTCCGTAAATCATCCAGGGGAACAGCTTTGGAGATGTCCGTGTAATATTTTTTATGTCCGGTTCCTAGTTTAATCACCTAGGAAATGCAAATTGTGCTAATGTAGCAGTGACTGGATGGAAGTCAGTATGCTGGTAAGGATCGTTCGTCCACACTTTTCAGCAGGCTTAGTTGCATCTGGATATCATTTCTGAGTTTTTTGGTGTTCACTGAAGCTGCATTGGTGCTTTGAGAACTTTTTAGTAATTAGGTTGTTTCCTCAGCCCCGTTGGTTTGAGATAAAAGGAATTCTTAAGGAGAAATGTTAGCCTCAAAAAGAGCCCTGGTAGTGAATTAATACATTTTAAGACATTCTAAGAGTTTTTTGGTGAGGTTTACAGAGCCGAACTCCTCTAATTGTTTGTGTATTCCCATCTATTTGTTTCCACTCTTCTGTTTGATGTTTTGAAAACTGTGGTAGGTCCTAAAATCTCATTTTAAGTTGTACCACAGGAATAATTAGCAGAGTAAAAGTGTCAGACTCGCATTCACCATGGGTCCTCCTGAAGGAATGAGGAGACGGCACTCAGTCTGTGACAATAAAGCCGTTCATTCAGAGCAATGGGACATTAATCTGTGATGGGTTTGCAGCAGTTATCCTCTGAGGTACAAATAAAAACACCTTAAACCCTGAAGAAATGTGTCACATTAACAGATTTTATGCAAGGGGAGCTGATGAGGACTTATTTGCGTTATACTGCTGGGCAGAAGACAGCCAGATCTATTATAACACACAAATAGAAACAATGAAATGGTTGTAAATCTATTTACAACAGACAGGTTTTGCATTAATAATGAAGCAGATCTCTGGGCGCTGTCGACCTGAAACTACGGCAAGCACTGAGGGGATAGCCTGACACACTTCAGCAAATCTAATTTGTCTAATTTACCTTGAACCTTAGACCAGAAAAGAAATTGAATAGATCCTGAGGTAATCGTTTTGCTCCTGGGGGAAAAAAAAGTCTGTGACCATTAAGGTCTACGTGCTATTGGTGTAGACAACAAATTGCAAGCACAATTACCAGAAAACATCCAGCTGCCATTTGTTGAAATAATTGTAAGACTATGTTACTGAAATTTGGCCATAAACAGTAAATTGGGGATTCATTGACAGGAAGTGTAAGAGTCCATTTTCTTTGTCTCGCTCTCACCGATGTTAATGCAAACTATACATTTTTTCCCAAAATAAAAAAGGTGGCCGTCGCTGTATTAGAAGTTCTGGATGAAATCGACCACTTGGGGTCATTTTACCAGCTTGTCATTTTAGATTCCTGTTTGGCGGGTTCTACCTGAAGGCTCTTAGCAGCTTCCTGCTGGTGTGTTGCTTTACAAATAGCTGCATATTTAAGGTGTCACACGATCTGAGTCTTCTGTGCCCGAGTGAGTGGACAGGACTCCGTCCTCACATTTCTCTGTGTGCTCTTTGTGCAGAGCGGTCAGACTCAGAGGAAAGGTCGGGTCATGGGTCAGAGGGGGAACGGGGTGAAGGTCCCCAGGTACAGATGTTCGATGTCACTGGGGGTCACAGTGATGCATTGTGGGTATTGCCCATCACCCAAGTCCATCTTTGCTTTGGGACTTTAACCATTCGCTGTTTTTTTTTGTTTTTTTCTTGTCTTTGTGTTTTTTTCTTAATCGAAAAAGATGATCCCGGTCAAGGCTTAGGGGTTTAAGTTGAAATTTGCATTACACTGATCAGTACTGGATCTGTTTCTGTGGGCTGGCTTTCTCTCTCTCTCTCTCTCTCTCTTTCTTTCTCTGTCTGTCTCTCTGTCCCTCTCTCACACACACATAGAGGGCTTTATTTCCATTGTCCCCCTTTATTTTGTCACAAGAGCACAAACAGTTGCATCCTTAAAGCCCCTCACAGGCACACAAGCAGTGAACCTGATCTTTACCTCCTTTTGTATCTTGTGTCACTGGGCACTCCTTGCCCAGCCCACACGATAGCGCCTTTCCCAGGACCCTTACTTCCTGCATTCACCCTGTTCCCATGACAACTAAGCCTAAAATGGGTAGAACCTCCGCTATCAGCCAGACTTGTCAAAAACAGCTTCCCAAAGAGTGCCACTGGGAACCGACCCCTTTGCTATCTCCTTCGCATTTCTCCTCCAGTCTTTCAGGTGTCAGCACTGTTTCCCCTCAGATGAAGGAGCACACGCCTACTGTTCACCCTCTCCATCATACTTACTGTACACACACACACACACACACACAGAAACACGCACGCACAGAAACACGCACGCTTGGAGGTTTTCGTGAAAACACACCCCGCAGAGAGATAGCAGCTTTGATTGGCTCTGGGACAGGCCTCTCTAAACGGCACAGAGGAAATGTTCTTTGGTAAACTGATGAGGTGTGGAGACAGAGGATTGATATTCTACAGCCCCACAGTGTCAGCGCGCTGATACGCGTTCAAAAGGATCGTCGGCCCCGTGTTTTCTTTTACTCTTTTTAGGAATCCCAGTGTTTTTGATGGCCCCGACGCCGGCCGTTTCCTCCCCGCCGCTGGAGCCGAGCAGCCTTTCATTACACATCTTCAGAAAAACGCTAACAGCGGTGTTAAGTCGGAGGGCACGCACGTGTGAAAGTGAATGAGTGCGTGCTGCGGGGAAACTTCCGCATCCCCTCGTCTTCCCCTCTGTTCTCTGCCCGCCTGTTTGTTTTTTCTCAGCGTGCTCGCACGAACACGTGTGTCATTTACAGCTTCTTTTTTTTTTTCCCATCCAGGTTTTGTCCATATGTGATTGAAATTGTGGGGGTAGGGGGGTATGATCTTGTATAGGAGTTCTTCTTGCTGCACATGGCCAGATGAGATGCTGTGTGTGTGTGTGTGTGTGTGTGTTTCGCTGCAGGAGAAGCCATATAAATGCAGCGAGTGCAACAAGGCCTTCAGCCAGAAACGGGGACTGGACGAGCACATGAGGACGCACACGGGGGAGAAGCCTTTCCAGTGCGACGTGAGTCCCCGTCCATCGTCCGCTCCACCTCCCCAAAAAAACCAGACGCCGTCCTCTCCCGGGCCGTGCGTAAATGGGACAGCGCGCCGGCGCAGGGCCAGATGTGGAGCTCAGTCAGAGATAGGGATCTCTCTTCTCCGGAGGGGCAGAGTGGCTTGATCTCGCGTAAACACATTGAGAGGATCAGAGGCCCGAATTACCCACTGCTTATGATACGGCAGGACTAATAATTATTCTCAGGGACGGGAGGAGGGAACAGGCGGCAGAATTTCCTCACAGCGTTTGAAACAAACTTTTTACAGCGTCGCCACCATTTGTGAAAATTGGAAACAGATTTTTAAAAATGTTATTTTTGTTTTATATTTAAGCTCCACAGCTGCCTCTATGAAAGGCACTTTAATTGAAAGCAAATTCAATTAAATAAAATCATTGGGCTTTTTTATTGGGATGGATCAAATCATAGCAACAAAAAAACAACAGTCCCTAAAATTCTGTGCAGACAATAATAGGACATGAGTCACAATTCAGATTAGCTGCTAATGTTATACTGCAGTCAGGATAGAATGGGGATAGTATGTGAGGTCATTTGAACAGGTATCCTGTCCATCCATTCCATCCGTTCAGATTTGGTTGCTAAGAGAGTTATGTATGCAAGTTTCTTGGAGCCGTAACAGACCCACACATGTTTTTTATATTCAGTGTGACTAACATTTTCCACGGACATCATTATCTGATGTTCATCATGAATAAATTTAGGGGTCTACTTTGAAATCTTCAAGAAAAAAATAGTTTCCTAAATCTCCTGGATTAACTTCCCTTTTTGTAGGTTTGCGTTTTACCGACATTTCCCCTCTTATTGGTGGCAATTTTGCACAAATGAAGCTGGAAGTAGCCAAACCTGCATGCTTTGAGTGGCTCCAGTTCAGCAGCCTGTAAACAAACACAGGCTAAAAAAAAAAGAAAGTTCCTTAGCTTTGAGACGGCAAATAAATCACATGACTGAGCAACATTTTCACTGGTATGATACCATATCCCAGATATTCTTTTCCATGCCCATTCTTTGACCTAAAACCTTTTCATGGAAACATGTCTGATTCATGTTTTTCCCCCTATAGTTGTTCTTATAGACAATTTCACATCATGAAATGTGAAAGATTTTATATTTGAGAGCTACTTTGAATAACCTCAGCACTCTCCGTCATGGTAGCTACAAGTAAATTTAGATTTGTGTTATTTGGCTGCTCGAGCAGGAGTTTTTTTTTTTTTTTCAAATTCAACAGTTTGAATTATCCTCCTGACTTTTCAGTTTTTTGTTTATCTAATTTAAGTTTGTGTTTGCTCTTTTCAGGAGAAAATGTAAAGATACAGTGTCTATAGAAAATGTATGAATAGTAGAATAATTCTTAGTTTAAAATTCTTCTTGATGCTGTTTATGTCCTCCTTATAACGCCCTATTCATTGTCAGTGAAGTGTCACCAGAAGGTGTCTCTCGCCTTACTCAGTATTTTTTCTTCCATTTTATCCACTTTGGAGAAGATTTATCTTATTAGTGTGAGCGTAAGCTCATAGAGATAATAAGAATAACATATGGAGTCTGTTCTGGGGGTTTGTTTTGAGTCAGGCGAAAAGGAACATTTTCCAGATGAGCCGTAGAAGCAGCCGCGATGCATCGTCCGTCCAATAACAGCATTAAAATATTGCCGCGGCCCCCGGCGACATCTGGGTCGCACCGAGAAGCCAAGGCCATCCCCTCAAGTGCTGCTCACGCCGCGCTATCGAAATGGTTTTACAGACGCCTAAACCGATACGTACACCGCAACAACACGGTTTGAGATAAATGAAGACGTCACCAGGGGAGCGCTTGATGTTCAGCTCTCTGTCGTAGCCGGAGCTTTAGGCCGCACGCACACACGTGCACGCTGCCTCGGAGAGTTTTTCTGAATGTTCTTCGCAGATGGAGGCAAGGAGGACGCACGCTGTGATCCTCCAAAGCTTTATGTCAAAGCTGAGCGCCAGCCAATGGTGGATTATCCTGATTGATGGAGGGGCGAGGAGTCACTAGTACAGCATAAAATGACTCATTTAGGATGGATGTTAAAGTTGCGTGCAATCCCTCCCACTTCTGCTTGAGAAAGAAAGTGTCTATATATACAGAAGACGAAAAAAACTGAGCGCGTCTCACTAACAAATCACTCTCAGTCACAGCAGAAGTAGTCAGTAGTGATGAGACGTAAAGAAAGCGCCTACAGGGCTGGACTAGGACTGAAATGACCCGGTGTGTGTTGTGTTTTTTTTAAAGGTGTGCGACCTGTCGTTCAGCTTGAAGAAGATGCTCAGCAGACACAAGCTGACGCACAACCCCAACCGTCCCATGGCAGAGTGCCAGCTGTGCCATAAGAAGTTCACCAGGAACGACTACCTCAAAGTACATATGGAGAATGTCCACGGGGAGACGGAGAGCTAGAGCCCATTACGGGAGCGCAAACGAGATCGCTCGGATAAAGTTCAGCCCCCTCCTACGCGTACCAGTAAAGTACACGTGTGCTGCCTCCACAGATGGACAGATAGCAAAAAATGTTGCCCTTAACCATAGACGCATGTAGAGTATGCGGGAACGTTAGAGTCAGCAGTTGGAAATTGGACCATATGGACTCTGCATTTGTTTTTGTTTTTTGTCGTCCTGTCATTGTTTTTGATATCTGAACGCCAGGTCTGCATCTGGAGCCGCCGTGTCGCTCTCATAGAGACGTTTGCGTCTTCTTCACGCCGCCACAGCTTCACCTGGTTGGCCGCAACCAGGTTGCCAGGTTTGCTGTCAAACGATGACGTAAACCCATGACCAAAAAAAAAAACAAAAAAAACTTTCAGGGTACTTTTTTTTATCGTTAGTTCTGCTTTGTTTGCGTTTCCACGTGTTCACACGTTTAGGCATCTGTAGTTGTGTTAAATTATTGAAGGAGCAGGCCATACGTGCAGCCCAGCAGTGTTGTCGAGGTGCGGATGGACGAGCGGGCTCTGAAAATGGCTACCGGCCACTTCATCTGAAACGGTTAACAAGTTTCAGCTGTTGTTTACACCGTTTTCGGAGAGAACATAAACGTGCCGTCGTTTGTCTTCCATGCAGCCTTTTTCTAGATCCACTTAGGACTTAGGTAGTTTAATTAGATCCAAATTTCATACAGCTTTAGCCTGTTTTCTGTGTGATTTGTTGATGTAACTGCTGGACCTCCATCATTAGCACAAGATGAACGGCTTCGGTTATGAAAACTTTTCCCATAACTTACTGTACTGAAACCAATGGGGCTCCAGGGATGTTTCTGCTTCCTTGTCACGTTAATGGAGAAGTATGTCCCAAACTATGGATCGCAAAAAAACCCAAAGTGTTGACTCTGTTTACTTTCAGAAAGAAATGGTTGAGTGTTTTCCTATGAAAGGACCTGTTTGTTGTACTTTACACAAAGTGTTTATGTTGTTTTATATCAATCGCTGTTTAATACAGAATTTTGTTACAGCTGTCTTTCTGCATTTTTTTCTCTGTCCATTTGAATTTGTGTGCCCCGTCCTTTGCCCCATGAATCCCCATCTCCCTGCTGCTCTTTCTTCATCTGGGAACTGTGAATTGTCACTTCACACGTTTGTATTTTGAAATGCATAAAAAACCAACCCCATCCCTTTAGCAAACATCCACACTTCCTCCACTAATTACGTGTTTGTGAACTGTTGACCTTGGAGAACGGGGTACGAGGGGAGAAAAAAAATGGCTTTAAGACTTGATTAAAAGCATTCAGCTCTTTTTGTTAATCTAACCCTATTCTTAGGCTGGCAGTGTGATGGGAACGAAGGATAATTAAGGCTTTTTTCTCCCCTCTCTCTGAGACCACAGGCACCACTCGCCTGATCTGTAAAGCCACACACCAAAGAGTGCCTCTGATGGTTTCTCTCTGCGGATCCCAGGACTTCTTCTCACGTCCGTCCCCTGCAGAGGCTCTTCGGTATCTCCCGATTGAACTCTGTGAGAATCTTGCGAGCGGCGGACTGAAGTGGGAGGGCGGCGACTTGTTCTCTTCACACAGGCTGCCGTTCAAACTCCCTTAAATCTTGCCACGTGTGGTTTTTGGCTTCCTCCAAAAAACATAACTAGTACAGTATGTCTTCCTTTTCATTTTTTTTCCGATGGTGTGCCTGTTTGTTCGACCGTTAACTCCTTTTTGAGTGTTCGGATGTCCCCCCGGGACTCTGTCAGGGCTTCTCCGGGACGGTGATTTGCAGCCTTTCAGACATGACAGGCGGCCGGGTTAACCTGCCCCCCCCCCCCCCCGGAGCTCGGTTGACCGCACGGAGGCGCAGGGCGCGGCCTGAGCCGGCCGTCCGGACCCCGCCGAGGCCCGCGCTGCCCGCCGAGCCTGCCCCACCAGCTGCCTGCTCTTTAGTGGTGAGGCCTCCTGCCATTACTGACGCACTCCCCGACACACTGGCATTTATATTGCGTCTTGTAAACAGCAGGGGTAAGCAGAGAATTGCAACAGTGGAGTATCATCGTCTGCCACATGTCAAAACCGGAGTGACTGACAGCGTGGAGAAGCGTTGATACGTCCCTGCTTCTGATTATAACCGGGCTTTTTCTTCAGATAATGTCTGTATCTGTGTGTGTGTTGCCTGTAGCCTTCCATTTCCATGCATTTTGATTTAAATCGTGGAACTCTTCCAGTCACCCCGCTGTTATTGTTCTTCCCCTCAGTCACTCCGTTTTTTAAACCCTGCATGCGTCCCCGCAATGCGTGTGTCTCTCTGCTCCCTTTTCCGGGTGTATCATGCCAGAGACTCCCAGTCAATGTGTTTCTAATTACATGTTTTTACTGGAAGCCCCGGTTTCCTGTGTTGCCTCCCCGTTTGTGAGTGCGGGCCAGACTGGGCCCCGACCAGCGTCCGCAGAGCCGGGCGCCCGCCCCGCCCACTGCGCAGGAGTATCATTACCACGCCAGCCCCGGTTTACGGCCAACCGCTGTCATGTCAGGAATGGCACGGACACGCTTGTCTGACCCCTGTGTTTTGGCCGGCGTTGCCGAGCAACAGGTAGCCTTCCCCCTCCAATGGCCGGGGGAAATGTGGAATGCGTGTGCCCAGTAGAGTGCCATGCAGAGGAATTTTAATACAACTGGGTAGGGTGTGTTGGGTATTCTGGGTCTCCCTTTCAGCAGTGATGGACATTTTCACCACAGCCACATCTCCATGGAAACAGACAGCAAGTTCTTGGGCGACTAAAAGGCTTTGACGCTGAAAAACAGCAAAAAGGTTGAATGCTTTGCACCGGGCTGTGGGGCTCGAGTCAGAAAGTTTTGTATCTGAACATAAAACACACACACACACACACACACACACACACACACACACACACACACACACACACACACACACACACTCAAGACGGTTCAAATGTTATTATTAAGCCATCGTTCTTCTCACCAGATAACTGAGAGAAGAACAATCATGAGAGTATCTATCTATCTATCTATCTATCTATCTATCTATCTATCTATCTATCTATCTATCTATCTATCTATCTATCTATCTATCTATCTATCTATCTATCTATCTCTAATCATATATTTATATTACACACACACACATCTACATATATATATATAATGTGCTGATAACTTTGGTGCCCATATATGTTAATAACTTTGGTGCGTAATAGGATGTATTTGGGTATTTCTCATCATTCATAAGAAAAATTATAACCCCTTCCACTTTTTCTTGGAACCGCTAGCTCTAAAGCTACTTAATTCAGAGCGACATTCAGATTTGGAGTGGATTTGTACATCAAACGTCATGCTCAGATTAAAAACGTCCAACCTCTCCACTTCTATTTCTTCCAACTTGGAGTTGAAATCTTTCTGTATTTATTGTACTGAGATAGCAGGGAGTGGAAACTCTTTTGCTTGAATTTAGCCGCTATATAGATATCAGCAGATATAAAAACAAAGAAGAGAAAAAACAACACCAAAAACTCAAATCTGTGGGAGCTGATACAATGAAGAATGTCTCGTGATTTTCTTACCTCGGCATTAAGGGGACAGCTGACCATCGCGTTCTTGTAGTGGTTTGGCATCAATCTGGATCATTTGAAAACATGACTTACATCATGCTGAGTGTGTGTGTGTGATAGTGCATGCGTCAGGCTATCTCAGGACACGTAGTAATATTGCACTGCCAAGCTTACTGGGTTACTTGATAATCTCTAAAGACTTTTCGGAGGAGAGGGGTGGAGTGGTTGACTCCTTAAGGGTTGGAAATATTTGCCTTTCTGTGTTTTTTAAACAAAAGGTGTCACAGACTTTTTCATTACAACCTTAGGAAATTGTCAGCTTGTGCTTATACAAACCATCCGAGAATTATCTTGAAGGTCCATGTCAGAGTGCATTTTAGTGCCCGCAAGCTTCTTTGTTCTGGGTTTATGAACTCCAGTTCCGTTTTGGTTCATAATTGTGTGAGTCGTCGCTGTCAGGCAGCCCCGTTCTTGAAAGCAGCTTTTTAATTTCTGATGATCTTAAGTTAGTGGCTCTTTAAAGTGATGGATCTTTCTCTCAGGGATTGATCCAGACCCTTCATGTCTGCAATTCGTATCCATTTAAAGCCCCAGCAACTGTGTCAATGTCACTTTCCTATTGCAACCTATCGCCGCCTCCAACATGTGGCCAAATAACAGCTACCAGTAAGAATCAGGACCCCAACGAGAATTTTCACATTGCATTTTTTTGTTGCAGAGCCCTTTAAACATAGATACCAAAGTTTTTTGTTTCTTAACGTTTGAACGGCTTGCAGAAATGGAACCACATATGAAATACTAAGGCACAACGGTGCTTTACACACGAACACACACACACACACACAATCGTGCATGCATGTGATTAAGACGAGAACCGTGCAGGAAATCCCAGTAAAAGTGTCTCTTTTATTCACCTTTGTCCTCTTAGGGCGCTTAAACAATTTCAAACTCAACCAGACAGGTGACTTTTGTTACAGTGATAAAAATACATAAGAGGATAATAGAACACAGAGGCTCGTTTTTTTTTCGAGCGGAGCTTCAGTGTCAGGGAGCGTATTGTTGCCAGGTGCCATCACTCCTCATCCTCATTAAGCTGTCCTCCCGGACCTCAGACACGTCGGGGGGCTTCTCCTGTTCGTCCACGCTTCGAGCCCTTTGCTATCCGACGCAAAAAGCGAGGACCCTGGGCTTTATTTGAGCTCCCAAAGCTGAAATTCAACTTGGCAGGAAACACGCAACAAAACATAAAGTCCAATAACACTCCTACTTTTGCCAAGTCTGAGCATGACCCGCAGAAAAAGAGGAGGCCCCTGTGAAGAGCTGCCAAAACCCAAATTCAACCCATTCTTTTTGTCGGTTTATGCGAATATTTGGGGAAGGTAGCCCCCGTCCCGCAGACAGACTCAACTCTCTGGTGCTTTTCCGTCTCTCCGGAAAGCTGCTGGAGGATTTACGGTCAGGTGATAAGTAATGACAGAGACGACTCAGCAGGGCTAGCCAAAACATTAGTGGGAACGTGTTGAGGGATGCGACACGACTCCCCTCTCTTTTCTCTCTTTGGTCAGATAGTTGCTCATCCTCCCCCGCCTCTGTGCTGTTATCCTCACGGCCCCCATAATCTCGGGGAAACTCGTGTGACACAAGTGACATCAGGGGTGAAGATGGCAAGAACACACACGAAGAACAAAAAGAGGACGATTATTCGAATAGACAAACTTTGAAACATTTGAAATAGATTTAAACCTGTAATGCGTAAAGAGTTGGAGTGGGGGGGGGGCATGATTGAAGACATTTTCTAAACTCTATGACACTGATGTATTTGTGGAACAGCAGAGAGCAATCCACGGCATTAAATCTAAATAGTGACACAACATTGGCCTTATTGTCCCCGTTCACGCCACGTTTCTGTTTTGAATTTTCCCAGCATGTTTGAAATCGAGTCCCTGTCTGTGCGCTCAGAGAAACCGTACACCGCGGCGAGGGCCTGTTTCCTGTCAGAGCAGCGGGAGAAGCAACACTGAGATGCACACACCTTTCATGTGCTGATTTGGGTTTCGCTTGGGTGAGCAAACACACACACACACCAGCGCCCAGCCAAACGCTCACAAGGACGCGGGCTCGATTGGAGAAAGGACCTCGGAAGGGCCTCAGTGTCTGTGGCCCTCCTGAAAAGTGCGAGGTGGGATCGGGGGCTTCTGTATGGGCCCTGTGAATTGGCCACCCAGACCTCACACACAGACACACACACACATATATAAGCAGACATGCACTGAATGACAATTCGCTGCTCGCCTTACAGGGACACATCATGTGTGTGGGGAGCTACTGTTGTCTGACAGAACAGCTGCCCGGGCCAAAACGCATCTATCTTCCACCACAGGAAGTTATTGGTCAAACAAATGTAATGAATTATTGTTCTTGTCCTGTGGACTGTGACCATATCTGTCCCCCCCCACA